TAGGGCCTGATATTTTCATGTTTTCAACAAGAACACCCTGTTCGCTACCACCAACTATATTCTATTGATGGCCAATCCTATATTCAGTACAGGCAAGCTTTACCCATCAAAGGGAGTAAATGTTTGTCTGCATGGAGCAAAATCTTCACCACCAATGTCACTATTAAGAGAAAAGTAAATTGGTATAAACTGTTCTTTGTTAGTTGCAAGGGACTCTACAACAGATTTAAGGATAATGTACAATGGAATAGTACATCAAATGAGATGTCAGTAAATAAGCATTGACAATTATCCAAGTGGGGTCCTGCCCTTTTAATCTGGGGGCAGTTGTGGCCTAATGGTTAGAGAGTGAGACTTGTAACCTGAAGGTCGTGGGTTTGAGTCTCAGTACCGGCAGGAATTGTATGTGAGGGGAATGATTGACCAGCGCTCTCTTCCACCTTTAATACCCACAACTGAGGTGTTCACCTTGAGCAAGGATCCGAACCCCCAACTGCTCATCAAAAGAACGGTTTAAAGAAAACAATTTGGTCTCTTAAACATTTAAAATGATTTAAGGCTTAAACAGTCACATGATGAAAGTTATTGGATGAGAAAGCAATCAAACTTGATTTCACATTACCAAACAAAATGCCACACGTCTCTCTGATGCATTAGAGGCACGCTTTAGTAGCAGTCTTCAGCTACAAAATCAATAGCGTGACCAAACCACTGCTCCAGGCTGTGGGAAAACAAAAGCATGAAAAACAATGGACATGATTTCTACATTGTCAGAAGGAATATCATGACTGGAGTATAAAACTACAAGTATGAGTTTTATTTAAAGGGGTCATTGGATGCCCATTTTCCACAAGTTGATGATTCTTTAGTGTCTTAATGAAAAGTCTGTAACATAGTTTGGTTAAAATTTCTCAATTGTAGTGTAAAAACCACCTTTTTTTTTACCCTGTCAAAAACAGCTCTTTCAGAGCAAGCCGTTTTGTAGCATTTTCCTTTAAATATTAATGAGCTCTGCTGACCCCGCCCCTCTCTTCCCAGCCACTCTCTGAGGGACTGTTTACTTCGCATTCATCGTGAAACTTGCTAATTAGCACATTATTAGGAAAGGCGATTTGCAAAGATTCATTAAAAAAAACAAACCTTATACTCACTTCTGTAGGTGAAGCTGGATAACGAATGATTCGCGCGAACATAAGACGCATTTATGTAGATCGGGGGAGCATTCTCTTCCAAAACAAACGTAATCTACTGCGTCTTCAGCGGCTCAGATGTCGGGAGTAAATGACCTCAATCGCTCAGGAGACATTCTTACATCTGCTCCGGTGGTGAAACAATGGCGGACTGATGACAGCTCACTCAGGACGGGTCTAAGGTAAGACGCCAGTCCAGTCTGTGCTGAAATGCTACTGTCAATCAAACTATCGTGGGAGGGGCCTGTTTTTGTGACATCACACAGACAGGCATCTGAGATCGGCTCGATTTGAGAAAGGGGTAAAGATTTTAGTAAAAAAAAAAAAAACCACTTACAAAAAGAAAACAAAAACGGCTTTTACCTCACTCCCTATCTAACCAAAAAAAGGAGAAAACACGATTAAGCAAAGTAAAAGGCATCCACCTCTCTACTGCTTCAAAAAAAAAAAAAACAAGATTAAAAAGTCAAATTATAAACAGATCAGCGTTTAGTTAACAAAAGAAACACTTAGTAGCACATATTCAAGACTGCAGGCTCTCACTTCAGTCTACAAACACACAGGCTCAACAATCACACACCGGGAAGAAGGAAGAAATGCTCTCAGCTTCGTGACTTTCCACCTCATCTTTATCCACCAGCTCCCTTCTCGTCAGCCAATCAGGTTACCCCAAAAACTTGATTTTAATTAGGCACAGCTGATGTCCGTAACTGGCTGAAGGGATGAGAGAGAGAGAGAGAGGGGGAGAGAGAGTACAACAACACAAAACAAAGTACAACCATATTGCACAAACAAAAAGAAATGGTGACACACACATCCACAGATTTAAACAGAGAAGTAAACATACGTCCTGGGACGTAACAAATGGGTGTCATCAGAATGAGAGACAAAACAGCTGCTTATAACATTACAATGATACACAAGTAATCCACACGATACGTCCATCAGGTAATGTCTTGTGAAGCAAAGGCTGCATGTTTGCAATAAATCTATCTTTAAGATGTTTTTAACTTCAAACCGTTGCTTTCGGCTATAATACATGTCCTCTATCCATAATAATGCTTTTTTGTTTTTTGGAACTTAAGTCAGATTATTCAAATATGCACAGAAATAGCTGTCTTTTCCTAAATGTAAATATGTTTTTCATTAAAAGAGTTCCTCTCAAGAATATATGATCGTTTAATTTTCTTCATAACCGATTTATGTTCATCATAACTTCATCTTACGGTAGTGAGTGTGAAAATGACTGTGTGCAAAGTGAAGTGGTGTGAAAGACCAATAAACCAAATCCCACTTGAGCTACAAAAAATGCCAAAACAAAACATTTCCATACTTGATCTTTAATTCATTATTTTTCCATTTTTTTGTCAAATGGGTATGGTAGTATGAATGAGAAGAACCATAGAATTTACTATCTGATACTGGCACATAGGATCTCAATAGCTCTGTATTACACTGCAGTATCAGCAGTTCTGAACAATTACGTCTAATTGCCTGGGAATCTGTTTACTCCCTAAAATAATTAGTTTAATGGGTTTTTACTTTGTTTTGCAGATGTAACCTGATGATTGCTGTCTCCAGAAATAAATGAAACTCACCATAGAATTTTCACTTGTTATTTTTAGGAATAGTAGGTAGTACACACAGTACAGTATTCTAGTATTAAAGGGGTCATATGATGCGATTTCAATTTTTCCTTTCTCTTTGAAGTGTTACAAGCTCTTGGTGCATAAAGAAGATCTGTAAAGTTGCAAAGACTAAAGTCTCAAATCCAAAGAGATATTCTTTATAAAAGTTAAGAATCAACCACGCCTACCTAAAATGGCTCATTCTAACACGCCCCCACATATCTACGTCACGATGTGGGAAGATTTGCATAACGCCGCC